TATATATATATTTACCATCAGCAGAGCTTGTTTTAAGGTTTACTCACGTCTCGTGTGGTGATTAACGACCACGACACTTTTGCGACCATCACGGCGGCTTTCACGCGTGAAAACATCCGAGCTTTTACTGGCATGCAATTTGGTGCTCAATAATTCGTGCGTCACAAATAAGTCTTTCGAATTGTAAACGCAACTGGGGCTCCTAATTTAAGTACTCCTCCAGTTATGCCCTCCTCGTTCACGACAGTCCCGGAGGAATGAGCTACACACGAGAGAGAGAGAGAGAGAGAGAGACACGTAACCCCGTAAATTAAAGGTGAGCAGTGAAACGCGTCAGTTAAATAGTAAAATGATGATTATAATAAACCGTGTGGTTGTCAAATAAGACCGCACGCGCGTATACGTACGGAGCTCCGGATCTCATTTATTCGATTAGAAAGCCAGCGGGGGAAGCGTACGCGGATGTATATACACCGCGAGTATATCATCCAGCTTGGTGTACTACGCCAGAGATGTGTAGACGTACACGCGAGCCTCACTTTTCTCTTTTACTCAACACCACCTCCGAGCTCGTTATCAACTTGGATGTGTTTTTTCATAGGATGGGAACATATGTATACATATAACCCTTGCAAGCTCTTTTTTCTTTTTTCCCATTTTCAGCCGCTATGCGCGGATCACGAGGGCGCACAATCGTATCACCGATAAATCACGGCAGGAAAATCCAACGCGTCCGCGATACCGAGCATACGCTCGTGTGCAACCGTGGATTGACGCTCTCGGCTTTTTTCGATTTCATTTTGCCTTTCCATTCGTAACGAATACACCCACTACAAACGAAGGGGAAGTTGGGCGATAAACGAAAAACTTGTGTGTTTAATGACGAGTGAGGAGCACGTGCGTCGACATAAAAATGATCGGCCAGGCGTATCCGTATACAGTAACGATTATTCGGTGAAACATTCATGTTCGAGTAAAAGCATGCCTCATCGGAGAGATGATCCGGTACTAATAAACTACCAATCAATTCCACCCTCGCAGCTACTACCTGCGACTCGATGAGCCAATAGCACACGAGACACCTTTCATGGCTCATGAACGTCGAAAGCTCTTTCATTGTTTCGCACGACAATGGAGAGCTTGCAGGAGAGAAGCGGATAAACAAGAAACACGAAAGCTTTTTTTTCAGGAGCTAAAGATGGCAAGGGAGAAGTTGACGCCTCGAGTTTATCGATGGCACCGATATCGGAAAATTTCACCCCCCCCCCCCCCTCCAAAGCGCGCTCAGCTCTAATGTCCTTCTTTCCGGGCGATAAACTCTCAGGGCAAAGGGCTCTGGCTTGCGTATACAACCACGTACAAAGTGTAAAACTCTTTTCATATCCATCACACGCGAGCCTGAAAATCCTATTATTCCGCGGAAGGTCCTTTTATTTTTTATCGCCACGTATAAGAAGCTTTCGCGTACATCTGAGAGATATCATATCCGTGGGGGATGGAAAAAAGAGGATCAGCCACGTTTGCGCGCTCTTTTGATGAAAATTTAATCTGCATTTCCAATGCACGTGTCCCCCATTATGTTCCCAAAGCCAACCAAGGAGCTTTCTTGCGGTGCTCCGCGCAAAGACCCAAAGGGGCACTTTGACG